TTGGTCAAATAGTGGTTTGCTCCCAGGTTCTAATTCTTAGAGGAGACTGTTTGAAAGTACAGTGGTGCCAATGGCCTTTCGGGGGAGCCAAACATGTCATTTACAGGTCTTGTGCCCCTATTGACTAAATGTTACACACTATTTCTTCAAGAATTGCATCAATAATGTCAAAAGAGACATATTATAAATTGTCTGTGTGCCGTCCCTGTAAATGATTACCAATGACATTTGGCATTTTTATCTTAAGCCCCAAATACACTGAGGTAATCCAAATGACTTTTATAAACTGTGAGGATAATTATACTGCAGACACACTTTTGTACTTTTTTTTAATCTCACCTAAAATGTATAACAGTAACATAAACAACATTTGAAACAGTGTTTTAAAACACAATCTTACACAATCTAATTTGTGTTTTCAGTGTCTGATCTTCAAAGAATACATATAGGTAGCACTTGAGCCTAAAAAAGAGGAAAAAAAACCTGCAGATCAGTGTGGTTTATACAGCAGGACGAGAGCTGTTATTAGTTTTAGTCCCATTTTAGTCATACTATACTATATGTGATAGTTTTAGTTGGTTTTAGTCAACTAAAACTCAAAAAACTTAAAAAACAGGGTCTTTCTGCGTGGGTTCTCTCTGGGTAATCTGGCTACCTCCCACAGTCCAAAAACATGACTGTTAGGTTAATTGACTTCTCTAAATTTTCCTTAGGTGTGTTAATGGTTGTTTTTGTCTGTGTTGCCCTGCGATGGACTGGCGACCTGTCCAGGGTGGATCTATCTCCTCTCGCCTATCTCCTGTCGCTGGAGATAGGCACCAGCACCCTTCGCGACCCCACTTGGAATTAAGCGTATAAGAAGATGGATGGATGGATGGATGGATGGATGGATGGATGGATGGATGGATGGATGGATGGATGGATGGATGGAGAGTATTTTTTATAGAGCACTTAATGTAGATATCTTAGAGTGATACAAGCAAAACAAAGATTACATTTAAAAGATTAGATATCACTCATAAAACCTGAAATAGTTGACTCATCCCTACAACCTCCCTCTAACAGAGAAGGAGCCACGATCAGATTTACAGCCAGATTACGCTCTAAACAGCTGGAATTACCTTCACCAACTCCTTACAACACCTAACTGACATTGCAAGCCATGGTAGGCCCATGATTTAATGAAACATAACTTTGCGTCTGTCTTTGTACCGATGCTTTTTTGGTAGCCACAGCGAATGTGGAAATTTTTATTTGTGAGTTTGCATCTGACTTAAACCTGATTAAAAAGATGCCAAAACTGCACCTATTCGATATGATAAGTAAGTATTAACATTTGCATATCCTCCACTCAGAATTTTGTGTAGTGTGGTCATTTGAAATTGACCCGCATATCCGTGAAGTTACACATGCAAAAAAGTTTATGCCTAATGACTTACATTCAATACAAACAGCGTCTTCTTTGAAGATCTGCTCTGTGTTCAAAGAAGTTTCCTGGCGTTATAGTTGAAATTCACGCCCTTAGAGCTGCTGTATAATATTAAATTAAATTAAATGAACTCACTTTTTCTCTTTTACTTTTGTGAGATTAAGTGTAACAAGTGTTACAACATCATTGTCTAAAAATCCACAACTATATTCTGATAATAGTTAAATTACTTATGAAGTTTTATAATTTTAGCATTTTTGTGAGGCCTTATGCACTACAGTGTTATTGCACTACAGCTCGGTTGGATAAATGTAAAGCCCCCTCTGTTGTCAGACAGTTCAGACAGACTCTCTGCCACTAAAGGAAATGTTGATTACCGGCAAGCAAAAGATAGCCCCCAAACTGATATCCCTAAGGAGAACTGTTAAGACTTAGGTGGATATGGAGTCTCTTCCGCTCTCTATGCTGTGCTATTTCAGAATCAAAGTGCTCACTATTCATATATTATTCAACATGTTTCACTCCACTGTTTCTCTTCTTGTTCGCACACAAACCATTTACTCCCATCCCACTTGGTGGAGCTGTATGTATTTTTGGATTCACACATCCCCTCTGCTGATATGTAGTGGCCCTTCTATAACTCTGTGGCCCTTCAGTGTTGTGTTCGCTCAAATCGTTTTGTGAAAAGAACACACTTTTATCAATTTAACATTTTTTAATTTCCTCCATATTTGAGAACTGTTTAAATTATTGATTTATTTGTTGTAATTTTTATTTAAAATAAACTCATCAATCAGAGATGCTGTAAATATTGCCACATGAATACTTTTATATACTTTAACTAACTTGAAATGCATTTATATATTTTTAGGCAGTGTGAGGAATGGAATCTGGATGAGTAGGTAGTTGATAACTAAATCACTTAGTGACCGGTAGAACAGACAGGTAGCGGACTAGGGAGGCAGGTGCAGGCAGATCCAGTCTGTGACAGGCTGATTGCAGACTTGAGAAGGGAGGCAGTGACTTAATAGCCTTGAAACAGGCTTAAAGCAGGTGGAAAATGGCTGACAAATTGGGAGCAGGCCGAAATAGTCTAGAACAGAACCAGCATTTGAAGCTGCAGAGACTTCAGTGAGGGCAGGCCAAGCACAGGAATTCAGGAAAACTGGTAATGCACACAAACACTTTAGCGATCCTCATATGGAAAAAGAGGAGACAATCTCCTTACCCATATGTATACATAGGCAAAATAACAGCTGAGAGGCATGAGGGATATTTGGAGAGTGGCAGGTGCATTTGCTCACTCTAATTAGGCAACTGGAGGAAAGCAGGGAGAGCTCTTGAAAAACAAACAGATAGGTTTCACCTCCCTCCTGCAAAGGGGAATTCCAGACCCCCCCCTCACCCCACCCCACCACCAAAAAAAAAAAAAAAAAACATTTCAACAGAGCAGATTGGAGTCTAACAACAAAAAACACTATCTAGACAGGGCTGGTCCAAAAACATAAACTAAGACCAATGACCAAGAAGTCATTCCCTACCATGACAAGGTCAGGGGTCTGTTCATAGAGAGCAGGATCTTTGGCAATTGCCCCTGAGGCTGTTCATCATGAGGCAGAATCTCTTGTGGGCACTGGAGGCTGATGGTTTTCATCAGCAATAGAACAGGCACCTTGGAAGCTTGAGTTGTGGCTAAGGCTTGAGTCGTTGTTGAAGCTTGAATCTTGGATGAGGCTTGAGACCTGAAAAAAGGCTTGGGTCAGAGGTCTAGAAACGTAACTGGTTTGGGATGGATGACTGGAAGCTCGATAGGCCCAGACTGTGGCTTGGATATCCCTGAAACATAATGCATAGGTCAATGGAGCTCTGGTGCAAGTTCAAGGACAGAAGGAAACTTTACCTGGGTTTCAACCTCAAAGACTTGGGTCAAAACATTGTGAATCTCCAGATCAGATAAGCATGTTGAAGCCCTCTGTGCTTGGACAACACCTAACTACATTTAAATCATCGCTGATCTCACTAGGCCTTGTTAAGATTTATGATTCAATAATAATTAACAGACTGAAATGCATTTGAACTTGCCATGGTGAAAGTTATTTGTAGTGAAGTAGGGATATGACAACAACTTTTCAACATTTAGAAACACTACATTGGAAGCATAGCCAAATATCAAAACTCACATTAATACAAATTATTTTGAGGTGTCCAAATCTGCCAAAAATACATTTGTCTTAAGGGTAAATTCTCTGTTAATGAAATCTAGATTGTATGAAAGAAATGAGAGCAATACTGCATAGTAGGACAATTATTATCTGAGTCACGTAATGACAAAAAATATATTTAATCAACTAAAAGGCCTTAAGAAACAAACATGAAATCTGAAGGGGGTTTTGAAAGGTTGGAGAATTAACATTTGGATTTAATTAGTTGATAAAAGAGGTAATTGTATTAAATAGTCTTTTCTCTGGAGAGATAAACTGACAATTTACATGCATAATCGGAACTATATAAATATCTATATAACTTGGGGACAAATTTGGAAAGGAAATGAATGACTCGAAGGTCTGCCAAGTTTTGATGCTTAAAAAAACAACTAAGATTAACTGTTGAGATTTCTCTCTCTTAGTCTTGCCACCTATTACAACTCCACCATAAACTTTTAGTAGGAATATTTCAGCATGCATCCAAATAAATTTGTGGGGAGAATGTTTCTTTTGAAGAATTTCACGGTCACAGTCATTGGAATGAAAGGATTTTAAATTGGCCTGTACCGTACTCTACCATTTTGCCCAAGAACACGACTGAGAGGACAGAGAGGGTCTTGAACCAGCCACCCACTGCTTACTGGAACCTCCTAAACCACCATTACCATAAACAATGATGTAGTAGTTCAATTTAATATGGTATTTTTAGTTTTTTTGGTCAGATTATTAAATTGGTTCACTTCAAGAAAAATGTATGTATTCAGTTTTTTGAATGATTTTAGATTTACTTTAAATCATGTCTGCAGCGTGTTAAGACAACAGCGTTGTGAATTATGCAAAACGAAAAAGCAAAGATGGGCAAGTAGAAAAAGAAAATAAAACAATTTATTTGCATAGCAATGTGTGCTGTGTTCATCACTTGTTGTCACTGTAGTCAAACAACCTCTCAAACGCCTCCTTGTAAATCACTTGCAGATGTTTCTTTTCCAAGCCATGACTCTCCACACAACATAGCCCGGTGGCCGCTGCATGCCTGTCACTGCCTCCAGTATAGTCCTTCTGACAAGGCTTTGAAAGGGCATATTTAATGACCTCTCATTATCATCTCTCTGAGGAAATCATTCCCAAGCTGCCTCTACTTCACTGATGAGGCCTCGGAGGATTTTGCTGATGTTGTTTCCACTTCCTCCATACTTCCTTCTAATGCAACACAGTCCTGAAAGTTCTTTTTTGTATGAATGCTCTTCCATCACCCAACTGTAGCTAAAGGGTTATTTAGGCTGTCCTCTCTCTGCAGTACCTCTTCCTTCTTATTTCTGTTTTGTTGATCTGTTTGATTTCTTTTCATTTTTCTTCTTTTTCTGCAGAATGATACCTGGTCTGAACTCTACTCCTTTGCAGTCTTTAAGGCAATGAGCCACATGCTGTGCATTGGTTATGGCCGGCAGGCCCCGGAGAGTCTATCAGATATCTGGCTGACGATGCTGAGCATGATTGTCGGAGCGACCTGCTATGCTGTCTTTATTGGCCATGCAACAGCTCTGATTCAGTCCCTGGACTCATCCAGACGTCAGTATCAAGAAAAGGTGAGGCAACAACCATGACCCATGTCCTCAACACTACATTTTTTTATGAATACACTTCCAAACCTGTGCTTACATTATTTTCCTTTCAGGAGATTCAGTTTTGAAATCCACCAGAATACTTTGTCTTGCATCAATTTGACAATTAGAAATGACAAATAACAAGCTACTAGGATAAAAAGCCTCCTGTGCATACAGCAAAACTCGGCTTAAAATAGCAGAAAATACATTTTGTCTTTCTTTTTGTTAAATGCAAAACAATCGACTGTGGTATTTATATTTCTATAGATAGATTTAATTGATTCAGCTTAACAGATCATCATTTTGGGAAAAAAAAACTCTGAAAACTAGTGAAAATTATAATTTATTTAACAGCAACACATAGAAAACAACTTCTCTTTAATGTATGCATCATAATTAGTGCCATAATGATAGATGATTACTCAGTGAGAAAACCAGTAAATATGAGCTTTTATATTTTTTGTTCGTATTATAATATTTCTAAGTACAGTCACATTATTAGGAATTATATCGATGTTTTCTCATTGTTTTAAATGAGCCATAAGTAAGAAATTTACTTTAAATTTCACCAAAATTATTCAGGTTTGTCATACGGGATGTAAGTAAAATGCTTTATATCGATGCTCTCCATTTATATTGTCTCATTCACATTTTTCTCCTTTGAAACATTGTGTTACGGAACTTACATAGCACATATTTATTTTTCTGGTTTCTAAGCAAATTATTTATGAAATTATACAATGCTTGGTATCGCTAGAAGTCATTGCTCCCTTAAACTTTAGACCTGATGACAAAAGGGGAATACTTTTGTAAATACTTTTGCAAAGCATGGTATAATTAGATACATTTTCTAAATGTAGCAAAGAGAAAATCTCACAAGGAAGTTGTCTCTCAATTTGAAAATTGTTTTAAAAATTGTACGTTTATCTAAAACATTTTCACTTTTCTTTCACTGCATCATTTATCCTTACCTCTCCTAAAAAACAAATTGTTTATTGAGCAGAAGGGATTTTAAAAACCACTTAAATTTAAATACATTTATCTCTAAATCTTTTCTTAATTTCTTTCCCTCTAATTGGCGTTCTAAGTTTATTTTTTTTCCTCTCAAACTCTGTGTTTCACAAAACTTAGACTACTTTGTGCTTTGCACTAATTTGTGTATTTTTACAACTCAGTTATTTAAGACTCAGCTATCATTCCACCCACCATGTTTTTTTCAGACTCTGAATTCATGAGGCAACAGAAAAATACAACAACAACTAACTAGAACAATTTGTCAGGCTATGACCCTAACCCCACCCCTATCACATTCTCACCAAGGGGTACTGTGTATCACGCACAGCTGTTTTTGTCTTTTAAAGCAAAGCTTTGCCACTGGGTGCTGCAGCGGTGACCTGTGGCGCTTGCAGCTCAGGCGCTCTGTTTCCAAGCAGAAACTTGCTTGCTGGTGAGCAGGGGCTGTGCTGCTTGCTGTCAGCAGCCAATCAGAGGCCGCGGGTGTGTTTGGGCAGGTAGAGCCACGTTGCCAGGGGCTGGGTATATAAAGACTGTCTGTATTCGTATGTGTGTGAGTGTGCATGCACAAGTGAGTGCCCACATTATGATGTCCCCTTGGGCAACAGTAGAATTGATGAGGCAGCAGACCCATGTGTCCTGCCAATGTCATCCTGAAGGTGACGTAAGCAAGCATCGCTGCCTTCCTCTCTCTTCTTTCTGATAACTCTCAACCCACACTACACTGTCTCAAACTATTCTAGCTCATGCAATATCATCCATCCTCTATATCTATCCCCACCATTCTTCTACTTTATCTGCTTTATTGCCCTGATCTGAATTTCTTTCAGTTTTCTCATCTTCTGCATTCTCTGCCCTCTCTGCTGTTGGTGTCCTTGAAAGGTTTAATGCCTTGGCTATACAGCTGCTACAGGGTGAAAAGCAAAGGGGAGGGGGAAACCTGTGGGAGAAGTCCTAGATCTTTTAGGGCTGTGTATTTTAAAACAGAGGATGTTTTTAATTTGGCTCAAATTGGTCAAAAATTCTGTGGCATAAACCGAAAAACTGCATTATTGTTAAGCCGCATGAAAACATGTGATGCAAGAATGGATTCCATTTATTTCTACAAAGAAAATTTAAATCTGAAAAGTGTGGCTTCCATTTGTTTCTGTCCCCTCTGAAACAATACTTCCAGAACCAATATTTGCTGCTAATGTAGCTGCAAGTCTTGAAACTTTGAAACTGTGTTTCGCCAGAAAGTTTAAACTGGAAGTTTGACCTTTCTGGAGAGTTTGTAAAAAGAGGCACTAAACTTTTGTGAAAGATTCACAGATTGCATTTACACCGTGGACTAAATCCTTCAAACACAATTATATGTGTTGATTTAATATCTAGTCCATCGTAGTTAGGGCTGTATGTTTAGCAGTGTCAAGACTTTTGCAGCCTGTTACTGGTTTTCTTCCAGTGCTGCCCCAACACCACTTTTGTGCCTTGGGAAGTTGTGCTCCCCCTGCATTTTGGATGATGGACTGAACTGGGCTTACTGATGTTTAAAGCTTTGGATTTTCTTTTATAACCTTTAATTCTCAGTATTATTTCAAAAGAATCTTTTAAAAACTTAGGCTTATATAAGACCTGAAGGGTTACTTCTTATGCAAGCAAATGAAATGCCTCAGGGGCCAAAATTCCTCTTTTTTTGCAAAAATACTGAATCCTCCTCATATCTCTCTATTTTTGCTTTTAAACGGCCAAACTTTCTCTTGCCGAGTTTATCCATCAATTTTCCGTCACGCTTATCCCAGCTGCGGTGCTGAGGGGTGCTGGTGCCTATCTCCAGCTGTCTATGGGTGAGAGGTGCACCCTGGACAGGTCGCTAGTCCATCCCAGAGCAACACAGAGACAAACAGGACATAGAAACATTCATACACTCACACCAAAGGAGAATTTAGAGAAGCCAATTAACCTAACAGTGGTGTTTTTGAACTGTGGGAGGAAGCTGGAGTGAATAATAATCAGCGGAACAACAACCTGAACAACTCCCCATTACTAAGGAATGGACATGTTCTTTTGGTTTAATTTGCATGTTTTCTAAGCCAAAACAAGGCTTTGATTGGGCTACTCTATAAAGCTTGGAACTCAACGCTAACCCAGACATTTTGAATTGAAAAAAAAACCTTCCTAGTTGGGAAGTGAAACGTCTTCAAACTTGGAAAACAAAGTCCAGTGTTTTTTGTTTTTTTAAAAAACGTTTTCAACTTTTTTGGAAGTCAATGGGAGTTAAACTTGTCAGAGGAGAATGTGTGTGTATGGATGTGTGGTCAAGTGTTTGTTAAATTATGGAGAGAGTTTAAAGTCAATTCCCAGGATAATAGTACTTTGTGAGGATTATCAAGTACCATTATCCCTACTAGGGATACTAGTAAGTAAAACCAAACCGTTGTGGACTAGTTGATTGGTCCCTATGAGAAAAGGTTCTGTTCTTGGAGGGTTAGGTTTAGGACTAAGGTGTTAATTGAGTTAAGGTTAGATTTAAGTTTAGGCCTTACAAATGAAGGCGAAAAGAATGAAATTCAATGAAAAGTTCCAGTAAGAAAGTGAGATGCAATGTGTGTGTAGGGGCATTTGCTAATTTTTAAATACATTTTCAGAGGAATGTTTTAGCTATAAGTTAAGCTCCAGAGGTTGGACCTAGTGATCAGTCAGGCATCAAAAGGCTCCAGAATTGGAGGTTAGTAAACACTGAACAACAGCTTATCATTAGATGCCTTTACATTAACCATTAAATTGCGCAAATTGTAATCAGGAAAATAAATTGGCTAAATAGAAAATATGCAATTTCAAAAATGCTCTTTCTCTTTGATAAAAAGTTGTTATGCTTCGATTGGATGATTTTTCAGTCAAATAAAAAAACTTTATAATATCAAACTGCAACGGAAACACTTTTTTTTCCAACATATGTGTGATATTTGCAGCTGGACCTTACTGGATTATAAAAAGAAAAAAAAGAAGACCAACAGTAGCTGAAGGACGATAGCTCCTACTCGAGCCGTGGCTAAAATATGGATACATCTCATGTTTACATCCACCACTACCAGAGTTTGCGCATAAACAAACATATTCACATCCTTTTGTGATTGTTATTTGTCATGTAATGGAAATACTACAATTGCGAAACAACATTTTCAAATTTTGAAAAACATTGACAAAATTTCTCAGCTATTGAAACCTGAATATCTGTATTTTTATTTCTATTTAAATACCAAATGTAAACACGCATAAAAAGAAAGTAATCATCTGAAGAAGCACCACGTAACATCTGAAAGATGCAACATCTCACATTTAATTTATGATATTTGCTGAATTTCTTTATTGTTTCTTAAGACATTAATTTCTGAAACTTTGCATTTCATAAACTCTTCAGAACGACTGATTAAGACCTTATTAGAGCCATCTGAAACTCTGACTCTTTGGTAAAGAAGTATGTAAAGAAAGGTAATTTAAAACCTTAACATATTTATGAACATTTACATCAGATCTAGGCTCATAGAAATCCTTTTTTTAAATTATATATGTTCCTCTTATCCCAGCTGTAGGTTTATCTTTTGCAGAGAGTAGAAAAGTGCATTTCTCAGAGCTCTTTTTTCTGACCAGTAGTCTGATTTTCCTTTTTAAGGAGGATTAGTATTTTAGCTGAAGATGTGTGTATTAAAAAAGAGTAAAAAAGAAGAGCAGGCTGTGGCTCTCTGGCTGATGCTGCTGGGTGGATTTGCCACGCCGACAGACAGGACTAAAAGTGACATTATAATCATTTTGAGGGTGTTAGCAAAATAAGACTGCTGGTAGTGTGTAACAGTCGCAGTGTGAAGGTTTCAGTTTCAACCCAGAGGTTATGTTAGGATATATTAATAGAGTATTTAAGTGCAGTAAAGTTGCTCTGGTGCAGATTTTGTGGTATTCAGACATTGCAACATAACAAAGTGGAGGTAAACCATACATTACTGCATGTT